GCCGGGCTCAGTAGCTTAGCCTGTAATCCCAGCACTTTGGGAGGCTGAGGCAGGTGGATTGTCTGGGCCTGAGGGTTCGAGACCAGCCTGGGCAACTTGGTGAGACCTTGTCTCTGCAATAAATAAATAAAAATTTTAAAAAATTAGCCAGGCATGGTAGCACACTCCTGTAGTTCTGGCTACTTGGAAGGCTGAAGTAGAAGCATCGCCTAAGCCCAGCAGGTTGACGCTGGGATGCTGGGTGGCACTCCAGTCTGGGCGACGGAGTGGGAAGGTGTGAGCCCTGATGGTTACTCTTAGGTGCTCAACTTGGCTAGGCTCTAGGCCCCAGCTATGCAGTCCAACACTAATCCAGATGTTTCTGAGCTGTTTTGTAGATGTAATTCACATCCATGACCGGTTGACTTTAAGTAAACTGACTTTAAGTACTGAGATTGTCCTTGATGACCTGGGTGGGCCTCATCGAATAGGCTGAAAAGCCTTAAGAGCAAAACTGAGGCTTCCTTGAAGAAGAAATTCCACCTGCGACTCTGGCCTGCCCTTCAGTTGACCGGGCCTGTGGATGTCAGACTGCCCCAGCCAGCCTCACCACCAGGTAAGCCAGTTCTGTGCAATAAGCCATGCAGGTTGCCTGTGTACTGCGGACTTGGCTTCTCTGGCGTCCTTGACAAGAAGTCAGGCCGTGGGGACGGGAGCCTTCCTGGGGCTTGCTGCCACCATGCGTTAGGGGACAGAGTGGGAGACAGAGCCCTGCCCTCTGCCCTCTGCCCCCACCCCCACTCCGGCCCCGCATCCTGCAGCCCTGCCATGCCACCCTGGCCATTCCCCCACCACAGGCCCAGCCAGCGCCCCCAGCCTCTTTGCACAACTCACGGCCCGAGGAGACCATGCTGACGATGATGGAGGTGGAGGTGCTGGAACTCTGCACAAGCACCGTCACCAGGATCCCCACCACCAGCCCCGCCACCGGGTTGGACAGGATGGCGTTGTCCTTGAAGATGTCGCCGGCCACCTTCCCTGGGGAGCACAAGCCGGCGTGGTCCCAGGGCCCTCAGGGCCCCTCCCCGCTCTCGCCCGCCGGCCTACCTCCGGCCAGCTGGAAGGCTGAGCTGAGCACGTCCAGGGAGCAGACGAAGAGGTAGAGGAAGGCGAGCATCAGCGGCACCTTGAGCAGTGTGGTGCCTGCCCGCCGCAGCTTCGGGGCCAGACCGGGCTCTGGAGGAAGGCCGCCCGTG